TATACAATAAAAAAAAAAAAAAAAAAAAAAAATGAAAAGTCGAAGCCATTTTATTTAATATATTTACGTGTAATCTAAAAATTATTAGAATTTTTAAAGTATAACTATTTGAATTATATATTATATACCATATTAGAAAAGCATCGATAACTTAAGCGGTTGGCGAGGGGCGGGGGGAAGGGAGAGAGGATTGGGGGAGGGGGAGGGGGAGGGGGAGGGGAGGGGGATCGGACGGGAGTAATATCGTCGTTAGGTTAGGTTGGCTGGTTGACACATTAACGTTGGGAGGAGCTATGTAAAATGCATTGGTGCGTCGCTAATGGACTTTTGACAAATTTCAACAATTGTGTAGGCGACAGTCGGCAATCGATAGAGATAAGCGTTTCCGTGCTTTATAGTATAAAAATCTTGATTGCGCGTTGTTTTGTGTCGCGTAGTCTTTTATGCCAAGTTACGGAGTTACATGGAACCAATGAGGCTACAATTGACACATTCGAATCCAATCGACTCTTGCTATTTCCTATTGCATATATCACTTTTGCATCAACTCGATTGATTATTCATAGGGTTTAATACAGCATCCGACGACGAAATTGAAAAATATGGCCGACAATGTTGTCGTGCATTTTCAAAATGAAGGATAGGCTTTAGATTAACATTGGCTCATTAAAATAATATGGATTTGACAATGTGAAATAAAATTGGCGTCGAGCTATGAGATTTCTCTCAAATATTTTATAGTGCGTGCAATCGTCGTTAAAAGCTTTGCGCGATCCACGGCTCTATTTAATGTATAATTATCTATAATTAATTTCAAATAATGTTGCAGCATAATGAGTATATAGTATATACTCGAGGACTTGGTTATTTCAAGGAAAATCAAGAATGGCAGGCGTACAGGATGCAATGCTAATCCGTAATGTGCGCTTGAGGATTGAAAATGCTCAAAAAAAATTGTGTGACACGGTACTGAAATGAATACAGTACCGCCAATATTTTAACTAAAAAGTGTAATGCATCTTGGCTTTTAATTTAACTTTCTCAAATCATTCATGACTACGAGATTAATCGCGCTTATTACGAAGGAGAAAAGTCGTTGATGTGGAGTAGGCGATGCCGTTTAAACCGTACATTTACATAAAATTTCATTTTAATTTCTTGAATGTATAATACGGATTTTATATAAAGCGAACAAAGGAAATCGTGGAGTTTTGCAATTATTTCTGTAATTCCTATCGCTTTAAAATGGCGCGAAATACTTAACATCTCGGCCGCGAATTTTTAATTTAACTGACAATTACGCATTATGAGTACGCTCGTCGTTACGTTTTTCATCAAAGATGAATTTATGAAATGAAAATAATGACATGCTTAGTATTAATAATGGAATTGTGGCAAAATGTGTAATCGGTCGTGCGTATTGCCAATGAAAATTTCACCTTTACGTAAGTTTTTCTTTGCTTACGATATCAATTATTAATCTTCGCTCACATTTTCTTAATATTATAATAGATTCAAGCAATAAAAAGTATTGTTGCACGGGCATTATCTAATTATGAAAATATCTCAATGTCGTGATTTAATTATATGCGAGTGGGTGTATTTTACAAAATTTAACTTTAACCATTTAATCGGAATTTTACTTTTACATTATTTGCATTACTCGGTGCATTTACAATTAATGCGTAGAAAATTAATCTCGAAGGCGATATTTCAAATAATTAAAGATATACGCAAGATGCTTATCGATGAATGCTCGCACAAGCTGATAAGATCGACTTGTGTGAAAGATAAAATAAATGTCTTGTGCCAGCCAAATTGTCAGTTGACAAGATGGTGTAAAAGAAAAGATTTTTAAGCTCCTCTGCATTATCCAATATTTTATTCAATTTTCTTAATGTATTTGAGCAGCTTGATCGAATAACTTTACGTATTTATGCAGAGAGTGAGAGAGAGAGTGAGAGAGAGAGTGAGAGAGAGAGAGAGAGAGAGAAAGAGAGACAGAGACAGACAGACAGACAGACAGAGAAGAAATATAAAAAAAAACATTTTTAATTATCCGATTGTAATGTTAACGTTAGGGTAAACTTTCACAATGAACAATTACGCGAAATCCACAAGTACGAATCTTATTTTTCGGCAAAGTAATATATTTAATGGGAGATATACCATGCTCGAGGTGTGCGAGAAAGTTTGATTTTTATTACATAAGCCATAAAGAGCGTAGAATTTACTTCTTAGGAAATGTTGTGGTAAAACTTGGACAATAAATGACAATTTCCTAATATCTATGTTAACGAGCCCGTGTAATGCCCCGAACAAGTGAGATGAAAAGTACGGCTTCGTTCCAGGCTATAATAATCTTTATCGCTCAATTGTTCCAAAAGTGATCGAGTGCTCGAGCATCGTCCCCCTCGACTCCCCAATAAAACAGCAATTTCACAGTCCACAGCCGATCCGAAAACAAAATGGACAATCTAAGTGTACAATTGGACTAGTTTGTGTAACGCCGCGAGCAGCAGATGAAAAACGTCATCACGTATGCACTTGACCGAAATCGCCTCTTGTGCCGTGATTATATCACTATATTATTAGGAAGGAAGGAAGGAAGGGAGGAAGGAAGCAAAAGAAGAACGATGAAAGAAGAGGCTGGATGGATGGTAAGGAGGTGAATCGCGGGAGAAGGTGGGTGAGAGAAAGCAGACAAGAGATCGGA